TTCTTTCTTTCTTTCTTTCTTTCTTTCTTTCTTTCTTTCTTTCTTTCCTTTTAAAACTATTTAAAACAATACTGCACCTGTTTCCTTGGTTGTTTTTACTGTTTCAGTTCAGGCCTCAAGCCATAAAGTGAGAATCATTTATAAAACCACATTAGCAAATAACTTCTGAAGGAAAGCCAATGTCTCAGGTGGTTGAGTAAGCCTTTGGAGTTTACCTCCCTCTAGTTCACCATGAGTTCTCATTTCAGAAGACTACTTTCACTGAAGGCTAGCTCAGCAATCTATGGGTTTGGATGTAAGGCATCTTCCATCTGCCCATGACCATTTGTTCCCTTTGCCACAAATGGGCATCAGTAAAGAACTTCTTCACTGTGGGCTTGAGAGAGTTGTGGAACAGGCTGCCAAGAGAAGTTGAGGAGTCTCCTTCTCTGGAGATAGTCAAGACACATCTGGCCAAATGGCTCTTGCTGTAGGGAACCTGCTTTAGCAGACGTTTGAACTCCCAGGTCCAGAGGTCCCATCCAAACCCTACAGTTCTTTGATTCTGTGAAAGAGAAATAGGCCCCTTTACACATGCCTCCCAGAGGCTGCCTTCACCTGCTAGGTAGTCCCGCCAGCTTCTTCTAGCAGTGCTGGTATGGCTGCTGTGCTGCATAAGTCAATTTTCTGCTGGGAAACTGAATGTCTGCCACAGATCTCTGTGAACTTGGGCTGGTAACTTCATTTCTGAATCCTTTCATCTGTGAAGGAGAATAACATTGATCTACCAGGTGCTTTCTGAGGCCAAATTCACTGACAACTGTGAAAAAGGTATTCTGATGTGCAAGAAGCTAAAGGAGTACCCGGGGCTGCAACGAAAGGATCTGCTGAAGCTGCAAGATGGACACGACAGACATTTGAGTTAGTTCAGCAGACGGCGAGAGGAGAGGTGCAGGAGGGCGGGGAAAGTCCGCTTAGCAGAACTAAGGCTGGTCTAGGAAAAGGACGCTGCATCGAGGCTGTGAGGCCGTCACCTCACTCCCCGTGGCTGCCAAGTGGAGAAGGCAGCAGCAGCCATTTGTGGCACTCATTCGGCTGCTGGATGCCCACTGCTCCTGGTGGGCAGCTCCTACCTCCGACAGACCGCCGTCACACGACACGTTCCTCAGAAATCACGCGTCACCTGCAGCTCCGAAGTGCCCTTCCCAAGTACTAGCTTCTCTTACCCCAACAGAAATGAGAGAAGTTGCCATTTCTGTTTCTCTAAGACTGCTGCGCAGCTAGGGGAGGTCTGCTGACCACTCGCCCAAGCACGCACTCCACACTTCTACAGTTTTCGGTTTCCCCTTTACCTGCCTGTGAACTAGCAGTCCTACCGCTCTCATCTCACAGCGGACAGCAGACAGGAGGACCGCGCACCTGCCCACAGCCCGCCCCGCCGACAGAGGGCGATTCCCTCTCAGACGTGGGCGCTGAGGCGGGACGGGTCCGCCCAGCCCGGCAGGGAACGGGGAGGCCGCGGCGGGCAGGCGTCGGCGGACACTGCCGCGGGTAGCGGCATGGAGCGGAGCGGGGCGGCGGGGGGATGGGTGCCCATGTGCCAACGCGTCCTGCCGGCCCACGCCAACCACCGCGGGGAGCTGAGCGCCGGGCAGCTCCTCAAGTGGATGGACGCCACCGCCTGCCTGGCAGGTAGAGGGGCCGGACAGCGCGGCGGGGCGAATGTCCGGAGCCCCTCACACGCACCGCGCCCGGCGGTGGTGGGCGGCTTTCTGCTCCCAGGGGCTGCGTAAGGCCCGTGGGTTTGCGCTTCGAGGGGCCTGGTGGGTCCGGGAGGGAGCTGCGAGGGTGGGGAGCGCAAAAAAAAAAAAGAGGGCAGTGGAGGGAAAGTCAGGAATGGAGCAGTGAGAAGTACTGGAGGATGGAAAAGAGAACCCCGGGTAAAAAAAGCCACCCACTTCAGAGACTTTTGTCATCTCTCTCATGGCTTCTGGAGATGATTTGCCGACAGCCATCTACACTCGTGCACACGAAGCCTCGTGGAGAGCAGCATGATGTGGGAGTGTGTGCTCTCATGGCATTGCTGTGCTGGGCTGAGTGCTGGCGTGCACTGTGCTGGAGCAGCTGTACGTACAGGCTGGACCAGGCTTTGCACACTGCTGTAGCTGTAGGTATCCCTGTTCCTTGTGGGGGAGGTGGACGAGGTGACCCTTAAAGGCCCGTTCCCACTCAAACGACTCTATGATTCTATAACCCTTCAGATGGAGAACGCAGTGGGATGCAGGAGCAGCAGCCGGCACACTTCTCAGGGCCACTGCAGGTTTGCTGAGTGGTGTGATATTGCACGAAGGAATTGCTTTGTCTTCAGCCTTTTGGTTATTTCGCTCTTAAAAATGCTTTTTTTGAAAGGCTCCTCACCACAGAAAGCCCCTAAGTCCTAGCTCTGCAGCAGAGTTGGTCCTTGCTCCCTGGGCTACAAGTTAATCTGCGATCTTAATCAGCTGCAGACTGACTACAGAGCTTCCTTTCAGCCCACCTTAACTGTTTTTCTTTGGTTTGTCTTAGAACAGCAGCAGTCAGTCATGCCACTCATCCCTTCGCACACAGAGGGTTTGTAACACTTGAATCCTGTGTCACAGCGTGCTAAACATGACAGATAGGATTTTTTTTGCTGTAACATCTTTTCCCAATGCTAGTGCCAACTGCATTTGCCAGCACCAGTGTCACACCTGTGTTCTGTGTCCTACTGCTTCAGACTTGACCCAACTGGCCTCTTGGCTCCACTTTTGAGTTTACAAGATATCGCTGTCATGTTCATTATCTTCTATTAAAACTCCAGCTTCATAGTCGATAGGGACCTCTTACCCTGAGTGGATCATTGTGTTCTTCATGAGTGCCTTCATGTGTTTCACAATCATGTTTTAAAAGGGAATTTCTCAGGTACTATGATAACGCATGCACTATCTTCTGTCTTACCCCTCCAAGCTTATTCTTGTACAGATCACTAAAAATATTGTTAGGCTTCTTGTGAGTGAGACCCCCTACCTCTTGGCAGAGCACTACCATCAGCATTTTTAGCCTTTGTCAGTCAGGAAACTTTTTGGAGCTGGGGTTTCTGGTGTTTGCACAGCCCCCAAGGTGCTGGAGATTGAGCCTGTGACATTAAACTCTAGTGCTGTTGTCAAATAAATGGTAAATCACGATAACTTGCTTTTAAAAGAATAACTATTAAGCTGTCGAATATTAACAGTATAGACGTTGCCCTTTTTTATAGTTAACTTTCCTGATTAATTCTATTAATATAGATGTTATTTTTCGTAACTGTGTCTTAGAGAGATGGAGAGCATAGTACAGATTTTGCTAATAGTATTTTGCAATTGTTATACAAAGTAAATACTTACTTTAATGTTTGAATCTTGATTGCATTTTTGTTATATATAGTTCCTGCATTTTACTGCAACACTGAAGGCATGCACATACCTGCTTGCCACTGCTGCTACCATGCTATCAAGGCAGTAAATCATTTTCCTTTGTCTTGGAATTCTCACGTAAGAAAGTTTTTATGCAGATTTAACATTGCCACGATTCAAAGCATCCTAGTTTTGAGGTGATTGCTGGGAGTGCTATAGACCTACTAATACTTTTTGTCCTGGAACATGCTTGTTAGCTATCCTGTATCAGTGTCCATTTTTAGCAGAAGACTTCAAACAGAACTTTCAAACTCAGGAGAATCATTATAATAGTCCAAACTCATCTCTTGATACTACCCTTATTTCATGGTAAGTATTTCTCTTATTTAGCTCCTTCTTTTTCAAAAGAGTTTACTGCATATTTGCCTTGGGATGATCAGAAGACAAACTGGGTGTGTTTCATCTCTGTCTATGATGCACGTGTATGAGTATATAGGTGAATGGCTTGCTGCTAGAGCAGTGTAGTAACTCTGTGTCCTGTGTCTCTTTTGAAGCTGAGAAACATGCTGGTGTGTCTTGTGTGACAGCATCTATGGATGACATACAGTTTGAAGAGGCTGCCAGGTACAGAAACGGCTAGCAATGATCGAATGTTTTCACTTTAGAATTTCTAATTTGGCAGAGATAAAATGAGGCACTGTAAAATCATGGTAAAATGGGCCAGTATACTCTCTAAAGTTACAGGGTTCAGTCTCCAGAATGCTTTTTTCTGTCTGTGATAGCCTGACACTACTAGAAACAAATCAATTTCTAAAGTCCAAAATAACCTGTACTTATTTGACCTGCAAACATCGATACCAGGTGAGAAACCAGTGGCCTAGTGATCTACTGCAGTTTATGTGAATGCTACACAATATTACTTATCTCACTAAATAAGGAATACACACCTATGATTTTTTTCTATCATTTGTATCACAAATCCTTTTTCTCACCATCTTTCAATCAGCTCTTCCTAAAAAAATCTTCTAATAAGCTTCTGATAACAAAACAAATGTTCTGCATTTGTGATTATTTTCATGATTTTCCAAGGAAAAAAAAGATACTGTAGGAGGAAATGGCACGTTTTTTTCCTGAACTTTATCTTGCTGTGAACTTACAGTCATTACTTGTAGTTAATGCTGTAATGAACCATTTATGTAAAAGCCATGGTTTGTTAACAATTAAATAGGCAAAACTATGTGCGGAAGTTAGTCATATTACAGAATGTGAGCTGCTGCAGCAGCAAGACACAAACAAAAGAAGAAAATGGTCTGTGAACTTCTCATTTGTGTATTTGCATCTTACAAACTAGAAATTAATGAGTACATAAGTGACGGCACAGATGGGGTAGAACTGCTTACCTGCCTATGTACATGCAGGGGTGATCATAATAGTAAGCCAAGAAACACTGCCTGTCAGATGTACAGCTGATGTTAGTTGAAAACAGAACATGAGTGTAAAATAAGCATCCACTCACACTGCTAAACAACAGGTTTTCAGACTAGTGGCTTCAAAGATGAGAACCTGAAGCAGTAGTATAGTGGGTGAATATGATCATGTTGAAATCACAGTTTGTTCTTCATCTGTTGTACAAGAAGCTTTAACATGTTTGTCTTAATTGTATTTGTTTTGTTGGTTTTAAACTTTTCCTTAGGAAAAAAATGCCTGTTCATGAAAACTGTAATCACAAGTGAATCCTGCAAGACTTGGTCCTGCGAGTGAAGTCAGGACAATGTTTTTCTTTCTGCCACAGTATTTCAGACTTCAGTAGCTTCAGATTTGTTTCTGAAAGCAGACCCAAGCTTCTAAAGAAGATACTGTCCTTCCCAATTTGTTTCTAACTATTTTTCTTGTTCTACTCCCAGTTACAGTGCCAGTTTTTCATTAAGTTATGCACAAGCCTAGTAACAGTGAAGTCATGTCAGTAATTATTCTTCAGACTCAGGTCAGCCCTTATATTTCCAAAACTTTACCAGATTATGCAAACATTTTGAGTAGGAGAGCTCTTGTATTTTATAAATTTTAAGTTGTAGGCTGTAAATTTTATTCACCTAACTCAAGATTGCCAGATGTTCTGTAGGGATTAACTCCTCTGTGCTTATATCTTGTCAATTGGCATGGAAACACAACTTCTCATTGTGCATCCATATATTGCTAAACTCAGCTTTATGCCATGATAACAAATAAATCCTTCTTCCTTGTCTTTTAAAATGCAGCAGCTCAGTAAGAAAATCTGACTTTAAATGACATTTCACTTTCACTAATACTCTGAGTTGTTCTGATAGATTTCATACTCCTCCTGCCAGTTACAAGAGAAAGTGTGATGTTCTGTGACTTCTGCCCAAGCTAATCAGCTGTCTTGTCTTAGATAAATTGGTTTTTCCGAAGACAGAATACATGATACAGCGTAAAAAATTCCATTTTGAAACAGCTCTGGAAAGTACATAGAAAGACATTTCTTGATCATGCTGCGCTACAATCTCCATTCTGACATCTTTATTTTCTGATATGGCCATGGACCCCAGAGGACATGCTTCTGCAATGAAATGTGAGTTCAGGTAGACAGACTGGAGTACCAGGGGAGATGTAAGTCAGTCAGGCAGTATAATGTCTCTGAAATCCAAACCTGTCTTGTTGCAAGTCTAGCTCCTCAGGTTGAGTGAGATCACATTCAACTTTATTATATACTTCCCTCAAGTTCTGCGCTTCGTCTAACATCAACAGACCCAGTCCTACCTCTCCAGCTTCTGTTGTGCAATATTCTCAAAAAGAGGAAGAAGAGTCACCAGGGAGGTATTACTAGCAAAGGTCAGAAACAATCTTTTGTGGAGAATAGTGAAGTACTCTTTGGGGTAGAGACTAATGCAGTCCCTGCTAGGTAGGGGACCTTGGGGACAATCTGGTGATGTTCACAGGTACTGTGATGTTGTCCACAACTCTCTGAACTCAATCTCTTTAGAGGAAAGCATGATACTTGCCAATAGTGTGTGCCATAGTCAAGTTTATCTACTGAATTTATCTTTTTTGACCTTGTGCTTCTCATTACCTTTATTACTATATTACTGTAATCCTCTTGGGAGTTTGTGATAGACACAGAATCTTCAGGGGAAGAAGGACCATCAGGGTTCAACTCCTAGCTCCAAAAGAGGAAAGTCCAAAACCCTGTGGCTGAGAGTGCTGTCCAAACACTTCTTGAACTCTGGCAGCTCAGGGCCGTGCCCACTGCCCTGTGGAGCTGTGCCATGCCCACCGCCCTCTGGCGCAGACCCTTTCCTTCACCCCAGCTGCCCTCCCCTGACGCAACTCCATCCGTTCCCTCGGGCTCTGTCGCTGTCACAGAGCAGAGCTCAGCGCTGCCCTCCACTCCCTGTGAGGAGCTGCAGCCACCATCAGGCTTCCCCTCAGCTCCTCTGCTCTGTGCTGAGCAAACCCATTCACCTTTCCCCGCAGACCCTTCTCCACGTTCGCAGCCCTCCCTTGGGCACCCTCTGACAGCTCCGCGTCCTTCTCACATCGCCAGCCCGCACGCGGTGCTGGAGGTGAGGCCGCACAACGCAGAGCACAGTGGCACAACCCCTGCCCTCGCAGCGCTGGGCCCGATGCACCCCAGGCTGGATGGCCCTCTGGGCTCCAGGGCACACTGCCGGCTCGCATTCACCTTGCTGCCACCAGACGCCCCAGATCATTTTCTGCACAGCTGCTCTTAGCCGCTCGTTCCCCAATCTGTACATATGCACTGTGTCAGGTGCAGAATTCATCACTTCTTCTGTTAAACTTCTAACTGGTGATTGCCTGGAATTATGTTAATGTTTGTGCATAGTAGAAAAGCTTCTACATATCTTGAAAAGCTATGTGTCTGCAAAAGGTCCTAAATCATACCTCTAACCACTTTTTTTCCTGTCTATGCAAAGGTTCCCACTTGCATTCTTGAAATGTGAACAAGAAAGAGAAAATTTGTATGCAGTTCATTCTTCTTGTCTGGTGCTGTAAAGGAACAGGTTTCTTATTTTCCATTTTAGTGTTTGAAAACAACTTGCTTGAAATTCTGGGAGTAAGAGAAGTAGTTTAATAAAAGGCATACCTTTACATATCAAAACACTATTCATTAAATTAGAAAGAAACAATAAATATATATACTTTAAATAAACTGGGATCATACTGTGCCAAGTTCTTAAGTTGCAAATTTTTGTCAAGTTCCATCTGGATGAAGCTTGCTGCGCTCTGGATCTGATCCTTAGCAGCTTTAAGTCAGTCTGATTTCCATGAAGTCAGTGGCCTTTTATTTTAGCTGTGGTTCTCACCATGCGTATCAATAAGGTGCTCAATAATACGGCTCTTATTGAGCCTCTTAAGGAGGCTGCCCTCTTTCAACTTTGCCTAGTAGCAGGATATTAAAAATAAGAGTCAGTCTTAGTATATAAGAAGCATTTTACAAGTTCTGTAAGGAAAGAATATGTTTTCATAGCCAATTGATTTTATGTAGATGAAAATATATTATTCTGCTTAGATATTCTGTGTAGACAAATGAAAAAGAGCAGTAGTTGTTCAGAAGCATGCTGCTAGGACAGAAGGGGCCTGCTGCAGCCCTACACGCCAACAACACGGAAAGTGAACTCCTTTCACATCCTTCAGAAACTTAAATGAGTTGGGAGTGGAGCACAGACTGGAAATAATTGCTAGTGTTTGTGTATGTGTATGCTAGAGAATGTGTATAGAACATATCCCATGCAGTTTTGCAGTTAGATATGCTCAGTAACTTGGTGTAACTTTTGTGGCAAGATATGCCTTTGAGCAAAAGCAGAATCTAGTATTAAGGACTTGGGTGCTGAGCATACCAAGGATACTGATTGATAAGTTTACGCAGTTTTCTGAGTGACTGAAACCATTATTGAGCGTGATGTTGAGTATGATTGAAGCCTGACTTACAAATAATTGTGCATAACCTTTTTCACTGCATTTGCGGTGCCCAGTAGAAGGTACAAACTGATCACAGCTAGTGACAGTTTCATCCAGAGATTTTCTTCTCTACTATTATGGATACCTATAGAGGAAGGGACTTGTAAACCATTATTAACCATAAGAAGATTTTACTCTTCTTAACAGAGTTGGACAAGTTATTACCATCAAAGCAAAGGTGAACAGAGCATTCAAAACCAGCATGGAGGTAAGAGCTTACCACTTGTATTACCACATAATGATGCTTCAGGTACAGAGAAGAGAGATGGGAGGAGGGATACAAGAGCCTAGCCTTACTAGTTTCAGAAGGTGCTTTCTACAGATCTAAAAAAATCAGCACTGCTTAATCAAACTCTAGTTTCATAATTACTACTATAATTCCGTGTTGGCTGTTAAATAATCCATGTCAAAGTAGAAACTAAGCCCTGAAGACTTAGAATATTTGGCAGATATTATGGACAGGATGGTATAGATGGTGTTAGTCCAGTCCTAAGTTATTAGCCTCAAAGGGGTCTGGATCAAAGCCAGGGTCTACTGAATACGTGGAGTTGTAAATGTATTTGAAACTTGTGATATGGGAGTATTTTTCTCAGTGGAGTGCATGTTCTTCATATTGTAACAATGCATTGTCCAATCATTTGAAATGAGAATTCAGGCTAAGGGATACTTTTTTCTGACTTCTGCCCAAGTCCAGTTTTTCTTAATATCAATGGGAATTATGCATATTCTAGAAGAATAATTTAAAACACAGTTTAAAAATAAAACATCAGAAAGTTTGATGCACATCAGGCATTTTTCAGAGGTTCAAATGAATTTCTTCCAGTGTTCTGCATGTTTATAAAGATTTAATTTTTCATACATGTAGTAGATTTGAATGAGGACTCCAAACGATATACAGGTAATTAGATATCCATAAACTAAATGTCTGTCCTGCTTTTTGTTTTACCCTGTAACTTATAGGAAGCATCCATATACTAAAAACTTTTCAGGGGTCAGAGAATACTGATATTCTTAAATGTTCGGAGCTCTATCAGTGATAGCAGATCAGTCTTTTTACTTTTGTTCTTCCTTTAGGTTTAAGAGGCAGGATGTGATTAATTTGATACACAGTATGTTGCTTTGTCTCAATTCAACTGACAGTGGTGTAATTACTTTTTTTGTCCCCTTGTCTTACTACCTCCTTCCCTGTAGGTTGGCATCAACATTACAGTGCAGGATGTTTTGACTAATATTGAAAAAATTGTGAGTGTGGCATATGCAACGTATGTAGTCAAGCCAGTTGGTCCTGAAAAGGTATTCTTTTTGTTTTGTTCTGTGGTTGAAGTTGGGACCAGGTTTCTCTGAGATATTCCAAATTTTATATTGTGAAACATGGGAAAACACAGATAAGAGCTTATTCTGTTTAATAGTAGAAAAGCAGCATAAAGTCTTGACAATAAAGAAAGTGCTTTTTCCACAACTCAACATCTGAAATTCTTAGCTTTTTATAATTTTTTCCACTTTTTGTTGCACATTTACTAGTAGTAGAACTGGTGCCATTATAAGGGCTCAGTGTTGACAGACGTATGCATGGAAGAAATATTCCTTTGAGTCTGCACCATCTCTCTCCTTTTCAGAAACTGATTTACATACATGAGAGGGATTGGGGGAGTTCGTGTATTTTTTTTTTTCTTTTTCATTCTTCACCTCTTTTGAAGAGATTGTTCAAAGTCACCACTATTCAGATAGAAGAAATTTTTTAAGCTGTCTTCCAGTGTAAATTAATTATTAAGCATTTATGTAAAATAGCGTTCATGCCACTGTTGTTTATTTTCCTCAGTGTCTAGTCGCCTGGACATGTTCAGTAGTCAGTCATGGTACTGTTCAGCCTGTTTCCCATTGCTGTGCTCAGCAGCCACTGTTCTTCTAATATTTTCCTGTGAGAGAGGCTGGATACTCACCAGATCTTCTTCATAAACTCCTTTGAATGTAGTCTTCTTTATAACACAAATTGCTAGAATCATATTTCATTTCTGATTTTCTTGTCTCTTAATGCGTTATGAAAATGCATCTGCCTTTTTAAAATACTGACTGGAGATTGGTAGAGAGTAGTCACAGAATCATAGAATCACAGAATCACAGGATGACTTAGGTTGGAAGGGACCTAAAGTCCACCCAGTTCCAACCACTGCCATTGGCATCTTTGCCACCCACCTGATCACACAGGACCCCAGCTATTTCTTTTCTTTTTTGCAACAATACATGACAGCTTGCTGAAGAAACAGTTCAGAGCACTTATACCAAAACTAAAGCTCAGTTTACCTCTGAAAGATTAACAGCTAAATTGGTTAATCTGAGGGCACTAAAATATTATGAAGTAAAGATTGTTTATTAAACATTTGATATCATAGCCATGGCATTAACCAATTTACCTTTTGCCCAAATTTCCAGGAGGGTTATTTCAGGATTAAGTTGGTGATGATTAACTACGACTAGGTTTAAGACAGGACTGCCAGAGAGAATTTAAGACTTCAGTTCTAATTCCATTGGAAATTAAGGTCTTGGGGAAATTAAAGAACATTCTTTTCAAACCCGTTTTTCCTAAGCAATTGTTGCCAAAGCTGTGCAGAGAGCAACAGCATACATTCACCATCTTTCACCTGAGACATTTGGAAAAGGTGAGGAAGCTCTCGAGTAAGATCAGAGATGAGACAAGAAAACTAAAAAAGCATTTTGAGTAAAGACTCTTAAGATTGAGAAATAATGGCAGCACTACCGTGTGATGCAGAATATTAGTATTGTCTGTGTTACAGAGCATTCTTTTTAGGTTTCTGGAGCCTGATATTGTAAATAAATCACACAAGTAATATATATTCAGGTCTTTTTTTTTTTTTTTTTTAATGTATTTGTTTGTATGCTTGTTTATTTAAACTGCATGTGTTATCATAGATAAGTACATGTAAAAGCTAAAAGAATGTCATTGGGTTTTGACAAATGACTCTGAAAAGATAATGCAGTATCCCTTGAACTTTAGCTCTGTTCTTGTTTGTATTAATCAGACGTGTCATCTTCGACAATTGATAACAAAAGATTATGGAAAATGCTGATGGTATTTTGAGTTCGAAGTGCACAGTATGATTGTAGAATCAAGAGCCTTTTTTTTATTATTTTTTTTTTAATTGGTATAGATTGAATTAGAACCTGTAAAGCTTCTGTCTGCAGAAGACCATCTGGAGCATGCCCTGGCTACTGAAAGGAAAAGAATCCGACTGGGCTATCAAGAGGTTTTTCAGAACCTAATGCAGGAGAGTAATAAAGAAGGTGACTACTGTGGTCAGTACAGAACATGGAATAAATAACTAAACAACTTATACAGCAGTTCAAACATCTGAATATAGCTTCTTGAGGTGGTGGTGTCAGATTGTAAAGAGTGTGCCAGATTTGTGATGCTGTGTTGGATAGTTGCACTAATATAATAGTATTGCTTTCAGAAATTCCAGATTTAAAGTGCAAAAGACCAAAGGCTAAGCACATGTTGAATAGGTGTGAAATGCAGATCTTCTTATAGATTATGTGTAAGGTTTAACAGTTTGTGCAGAACTTTGCAATACAGTAATAAGGTCCTATAGGACTAGTTATAAGGTAATAAAAAGGATAAAGTCTATTCATGGCTATGACTGTGGAAGAAAGCACTGAGAACTGTGTTCCTGCTGAGAGATATTTCCAACATGCAGACATTTCTTCATTATGTGATTGCTAACAGGTTAAAAAAAATTAAACTCCTCAGGACCAAGCTAGAAAATTTCAGACAAGAAACAAGTTGATATTTATTTCTGGTAGAAATATCTTTTCTTAAAGGCAGCTGTACTCCAAAGTTGCTGTAAAAGGCCATGAAGTAAATTACTAACAAATTTTTAAGAAATCTGCTCATATTTTGAAATTCTAAACTGTTACTACATAAAAACAATGGTCAGCATGTATCTTTATCAAGTTATAGTCTTTATTTAATAAGATCGTGTAGAGACTAATACAGAAAAAAAAGTGTTTCTGTCTTGATAATTGCCTCATAGAAAGTGACTCAATCCCATGAAAGACAGATCAGAGATGCTGTTTTTGCCTTGCCTTGCCTAGAAATTTCCTGGAAGGGCCTTATAATGGTAAGCACAAATTCACCTACTTCAGGAGGCAGAGTGAGCATAACAGGAGAAACAGCGAAGAAAATACTGCATTAGGTGCTTCCATGTAGCATATTCAGAAAGTGACGTTTGTTTTCTGAGTAGGTGTTGTGAAACAACTTAAGCAGTTCCAAAGTTCAGGTTAGTCAAATGTGTCCGTGCAGTTATATAATCATAAAGCCAGTTAATTAGGGCAAAATTCAAAAGTACAGTTCAGGTCAAGTAGCAAGTATTATGGATGTGCACTTAGTAAATTACTGACATTGTCTCGTGCCTAAAAGCATTCTTTAAAAATGTAACTGAAAAAGCAAAGTGACTAGTCACTTGAAAGTGGAATTGGAAATGCTTGAGTAACAGAAGGTTGTTATTAATTCAGATAAGTATTTGTATTCTTATTTTATGCCTTCTATATTTCTAATAATGAAAAATTTGTAAGCAGCAGGTTATGAACTAATCATGCAATACTCCAACTTAATTAGACACATTTGCACAGTTGCCTATCATACATGGTGGTCAAAGTCTGTGGAAAGCATTTGAACAAGTAATAAATAGTTTTAACAATATCCATTAGAAGTTATGCATAGCAACCATGAATAATGCAAGCACAGACTCTGACAGTTGGCTGCATGTGTTCTCAACTGACCAAGCCTCACAGTTATTGCTTCTGATACAGCATCTTCAGAGAAGATAGCCTGGGAAGGAAGGATCGCAGCGTCATAGTCACATACCTAGGGCTGCACCATCCACCACCTCTGGCTAGCATGGTAGAACAGAACAAATCATCACTGTCTTTCTGCCCTTGAAAAGAACAGAGGTTTTCCCCTGTATTCCTTTTTCATTTTTCCTTTTGAGTGTATCTGAGGCAAATGGCACACTTCAGTAACTGGGAATATTTTCCTTTTGGCTATCAGAGGTAATAGCTGAAATAATTCATGATACATTGCTGCTATATTTCAGAAACTTTTGAAGAGGAAGATACGATTTCAGCTGACCTTACTCATGTACAAAGTATTGAGCTTGTCCAACCTCCTCATGCAAACCATCATGGAAACACTTTTGGTGGTCAGATCATGGCTTGGATGGAGACAGTGGCAAGTATTTCAGCAAGGTACTTTCTTCATCATAGTCTTTGCATATGTTTCTAAGTGGATGTATTCCTCCAATTTGATATTTAGGGTTTCAGTGGGATTTATTACGTGAAAAAAGCAGATCCAAATCTTCTTGCCTTTTCTTCTTAAGATTGCAGGAGGTCTTTAAGCAGTTTATGTGGTACATTTACCACAGCATGCCACACTACTGTTGGAGTCATGTTTTGTTCACTCTGTTACACATGCAGGCCCGAAGGTGAAAGAGGCTGTATTTGCCTGAAACTCCCTGCAGAAAGTCAGCATTAGGAATAGGAATAGAATCCCACCCTCCTTTTGGTTGGTGCAGTGTTTTAAAAGCAGTGGCAGTCGTTAAGTCATAATAAAACTAATACAGGCTCATTATCAGTGGATAGCCAAAAATAGAGAGACTTCTTATGGTGGTCTTAAATGAGACTTAAATGGTGGTCTGCAAATCCTTATACCAGAGGAAGGAATAAGTCAGGGATGAAGAATCAGAAGAACCACGTTCTTTTTTATTGATGATGAATGATGAATTAACTTGTGGATGGATGGATTAACTGAATAAACTTGTGGATGTTTAACCTCCACAAGTTGCCTAGCCTTTCAGCCCCTTTGAGTCCCACATCCTGTGGGTTCTGATATTTTTAGCAGTGTAATTTGCTTTGACATGTTGAGATAGTAAGTACAAAATATTTTTGTGACACTGTCTAGCTTTGCTTGTCATTATGGCCTGGGCATATTGTCAGTAAATAATTCTTCTTGTCTGAATTTGAACTGTTTATCTTCCTCCTTGTTCTTGGACAATATACAGAGCTTCTTTGTAAGCAACACTTGAATTGCAGTTTCAATTCTTCTTGCATACCAAGTGACCTATTTCACTGCAGGGATGTTAGATTTGTTTTTGTTTTTTAACTTTAATAATTAAATTACTTTCCCATTCATTATTCATGTGTTTCTGACTTGGAGACAGTAGTTGTACTGATAGGAATCTATGAAGGCATTACTCTGAAAGTAATGTCTTGTATTTCGTTATGTTGACCCATGTCACCAGGGACAGAGGTTGGTGGTATGGCAGTAGATGTTGAATCTTCCTGTCAATACTGTTACATTTTGTTTCTGTGCGACAGGCAGGCAGCAGAGGAGCATCTGACATGGAAGTGCATATGAAGTAAAAGTGTATAAGTGAATTCCTCCATGTGGAAAAAAATGACTCCCACTGACATTTATTGACATTTTCTGAGCATTTATTGAAACCAGCGGGTGGATTTGAGCACAGTGTGGGGGGTGGGGGGTGCCTTTCAGCAGTGGTGACAGCAACGTGAAGGTCAGACCATGTACCAGATGCCTATGCAGATTGTTCTGAGTGCTGCATGCACTCACTGTTGAAAATGCATGTTGACTATGTTGAGAAATGGTGTTTTGTAACTGAGAATTTTCTCTATCAAGTAGTGTTGTTGTACTGTTTGTATCTGTTGTAGTTTCCCTGGAAATAAATAGGAGACACTACTTTTGGAGCAACCTACATGCTTTCCTTAGTTAGAACTGCTTGTTTTATTAACATGAGAATGCACTGACCTTACCTACTGTTGTGTAATTTCATTGGCTTCAAAGGCTTCAGATTTGTACCAGAATTTGACCCAAAATGCTTACTTGTTTTCATTTGGTAAGTTTGACCTACTGAGAATCATAAAGTGAAGGGAAACATCAGCAAAGCAAGTACTGAAAATATTTTCATTGGAATAATTAATGTCAAACATGCTTTGTCGTGTTGAAAATTTCAAGATTAATAACTGATGACAAAGGATGGTTGAAAACAGTGATACTGTAATTTCTGCTTGAGAAGCAGCTAGTTTTCCTATAAACCTTTTCTGAGGCCACTTGTAATTAGATGTGACCTTTGAAGGTGCCAGTTAGGAGTTGCTGTGGCCACAGATTTTGACAGAGAAATGGAGCAGGAGGACTAACACTTGAAAAAGTAAATTTGTAGGGACTTTTGAAAGGTTACTTACCTTCTCCTCCCTCTTTTTTTGCCTGGATGATAGATGAAAATCTTACAGATAGTAGTAAAGCCATCCAAATACTAGTTTGAGCCAGATCAGTCACTTGTATGTCTTAAACTTCCAGAAGTATTCAGGCCATAGCTTTCCTGGAAAAACAGCATATTTAGGCTGAATTTCTGTTTATTACTTTTTTTGTTATCTGTAATGCTGTATTTGTAGCCTTATTGTGAACTTTCTAAATGAGATAACTATTGAATGTTTTAAATCAGAAGATCAAGTTATTCTTAATGAAATTACAAAGTAATTTGAATGTCTTAGCCTATTAAAAAGATGTACCAGTCAGTTAATTAGCAACAGATAATTGTGTGCGTTTAACCATACTGGAACATTAGCTTCTACAGTGTTAGCTTCCAGAGTGGAATTGAGTTAAAAGCTAGGAATGGTACAAAACTGTATTTTCAAGCATAAAAACTGCACAATGGAAATCTTGTCTCAGATGTGCACCTGCAGTTCTTAATTGAAAAGTTTTGCACGCATACATGGGAATTGAGCAGAGTGTGAAAATGAGTGACATTCATGTATAGTGTTCGTGTGCTACAAAATAACATCTGCCAAGAGTGGGGTCTTTACTACACTTAGAACTGCTGAAGAAACCAAAACTTTGCCTATTCCAGAGCGCTTGCAAACTAGACTCTCCTTCCCCCACCTTCGCCCTTAAATTTCACAAACTCTTAAACTCAGTAGAATCGTGCAGCATTCCAGGTTGGAGGGGTCCTCAAAAGATCATCAGATCCTAGCTGTTATGGGAAAAGGTAGCTTAGATGAGGTTATCGAGTGCTGTGTCCAAATTACATCTTGAAAGCCTCTGGTGATGGAGGTCACCATATCCCTGAGGAAGTTGTTGCAGTGATTATTCTTGTTGCAAAAAAAATTGTTTATTTTATAAAGACAAAAACTCCCCCAGTACAACTTAGATCTGTTGCCCCTTGTCTTATCAGTATGGCTCCTTGTGAAGAGAACCTCTGTCACCTTGGTAGCTGTATTGTAAGTGCTGGAATGCTGTGATGAGGTTCCCCTCTCAGCCTTCTGTAGGGTGAAGAGATTTAATTTCTTCAGTCCTTTCTCACTGGATAGGTTCTCCAGTTCTTTGATCATCTTTGTGCTCCTCTTTTGGACCCTTTGCAATCCATCTGCATCTTTTTTAGGCTGTGGAGACCAGAACTGGACATAGTACTCCAGCTGCGACCTGCATTATCCATACTGCAGACTTTTTTCTGACGTGTCAGAGAAGTGTTAGGTTGTTGGAATTCCTTAGTGTGAATGACACAGTGTGGCAAAGCTATTCTAGCAGTGTAGCTTGGTTGGATAGGTATCTGTTCCACCCGTGCCCTCGTTCAAAGAGCAGCTGTGCTTATGTGCTCATGTAAAGAGTACAGTCTTCAATACTAGAACAGAAAAATTCTACCATAAAACGTCACAGGCAGTTTGAAAAAAATGAACAAAACAACTCACCTTAACCTGACAGCATGTAGTTGAATACAGTGTGTATCAAGTCTGACATAAGAGCTCTACAGAACTGGACACAGAAAAGAGAATCAATTTTTATTATTATTATTTAACTGAACAGTTTGGGGTTTCTGTACTGGTAAGGAATTGAATCAACATCTTGCTATCCCACTGCGTGTGCTAATTAAAACCATATATGTGCATTTGGTTTTATTAGTAGCTTTTTATTCTCATTTATATAAAATGAGCAGAAAACATTTGACAAAAAACCAAAATGTATTGACAAGAGTAGGTCATCAGGTTTCTTTCATTGCCTAAAGGCTTTATGATTTAGCATTTTTGCATGTTGAGCATCATCCTACTTCCCATGCAGTAATGCAGAAGTTAATGAAACTATTTGTGAGGTATGTGGTTGCTCTGAAGGCAAGGTATTCATGGTCTGGTACCAAAATAAAGTAATAAGAAACAGTGAGAATTAATTAGTGTTTGTAAAGTGTTGAAAATGAAACAGTGTGATATGAGTAGTAGTATTATGTTTGAAGCTTGAATTAAATGCTGTTGGAGCTGAACACTTTAACTTATATTGGTGAGTTGTATTTTGGTGAGTTATGATGTATACTTTAATCGCTGCTGACTTCAGACTTAACAAAGGTGGTTCCTTAATGTGACTGGATAATTTGCTCTCTGCCTCTTTTTTTTCTTTTTCAGTCGCCTTTGTCGTTCATATCCCATCTTGAAATCTGTCAGTATGTTTAAGTTCTGGGGTCCATCTGTTGTGGGTGACCGCCTTGTCTTCAATGCAATTGTGAACAATACATTTCAAAATAGGTAAACCTCTTCATATACTTATTCCTTGAATTCTCCAGCACCTACCTAACTGCATGCTTCAGATTTTTATCTGGTAGTTGGTTTTGCCTTACTGAATGAAATATTTTGCAAATGGAACTTAGAAAGATGTATCTATAAATACGTGCTTATATTATGTGCATGTTCCACCCCAGCATACAGTTGGCCCTTTTGACTGCCAGGACACACTGCTGGCCCACATTTACTTTCCTGTCACCAGAGCCTCCAGATTCCTTTTTTCAGGCCTACTCTCATCCCTTGGTCTGTGCGTACAGGAAGGTAGCCTCTTCATGGTATGCTTCTGCTGAATGTAAAATAAATGCTGTCCTGCTAATTTTTGCTCAGTTTTCTCACTGGTGTTTATATTTTGCTATTTAGCTCAATTTATTCTCTTCTTACTCATTCTATTTGTCTAGTGTCACCTTTTATTTTATTTTATTATTTTATTTTATTTTATTTTATTTTACTTTATTTTATTTTATTTTATTTTATTTTATAATCCGTGAAAAGCATCTGTCCATGCAGAATAATTTATTTGTTTCCTGCAGGAAGTATTTGAGTACAGCTTTGTGAACACAGGAAAGTGTTCAGCAGTCCTTCTTAGTATATCCTAGAGCTACTTTTGCATCACTTGTGGTAGTTCGGTGATTAATTTGAGCTCTTATTTCAGTGTGGAGGTTGGTGTTCGCGTCGAGGCTTATAACTGTGAAGAATGGATCAAGAACCAAGCACGACATATTAACAGTGCATATCTCATTTTTAACTCCATGAATGACAAAGGCGAGCTGCTCACTTTCCCCAAAATCAAACCTATTACTAAGGTCAGCTGTTACCCTTATACTAGAATGAATGTATGCATGGAATTATGTGGTCCTGCTTAGCACTCTGCATGTCACACAAGTGGCCGCTGTAGACTTGCTGGGAAAGGAAGGGCTAAGTAAGGCTCTGGAATGCTTCTTCTTGCAGCATTCAAAGCCTATAAATGAAGTGTTTACCTCTGATTGCAAAATTAATCGTTATTACTTTAGACATCCAAAACAGACGTGCATTGGAAGGTAGTTGTAATTAGAACTTCTGTAGTTAGGGAATGAAGAGAGAAGTATCTGCTGTGCATATTTTCCACTTTTCTTCTTTAGTCTCCAGTGACTGTATAAGATGCCCAGACAGCAAGAAACTGGTAAAGCTTAGAAATGTTAAATGAATTCTTATTTTTAGAAACTCTTAAGAAAGATGAGAAATAGAGTTAGTAGAAAAACCTTGGGAATCAAATCTCATGACACAGGCAAACTTTCTAGTTCTTTTGGTGTGGAAACAGAAGCATGTGTTTCCTTGAGAGAGGCAGTGAGAGCAGTACAAGCACTGTTCTTGAATTATTTGTTATCACCTGTCATTAACTAAATGCTCTAATTAATGAGATTTTTAGAAAGCAGTGTAGGCAGAAATGAAACTATTCTTAAACATCAAGGTATCCAGTGTATTAGGTGAAGTCACAAGGTTCACTCCTGCTTCACTCTTGGACTGTTTCCAGAGGAAAGACTGACTCGTACTCTTTTAAAAAATAGGGGGAAAACAGCACCTTAACTTGTGCCAGTAGAACAGTGCTTCCCTAAAAGACCTGGCTTAGAGGGGGCATTCACAAATTGAACATCAAGATAAGAAGATCTATACCATTTCCCACACAGTCAAACAAGCAAGTCTGGGAAAAATGGAAAATGCGCTCAAGGTTATTTAAACTTCAGTGGTTATTAGACTGAACCTGGCAGCTGAAATTATTAGTTTGTACATAAGAAAGGCTAAGATGCACTAATCCAGACATTCTGCTTACTCTAGTAAAAGATGCATGTCAGCTCTTTAAAGGAAACAAAAAGCTTTTTCCAGAGTATTAGTTCCTTCAGAGTGATAAGTCCTGTTGAGCAGTTTGGCTCAGTTTTTGCTCTTGGCTCACTTCCATGCTTCAGAAAAAAAATACTCCTCGGCAGAGCAGTGGTAAGGGAAGGGAAAGACCTGCTGCCTTGAAAGGCAAGGCACGTCTGTGCCCTAGGTCAGTGTGCACTGAAACAGAAATTCTTCCATGTGTCTGGCATGCTTTGAACACTAGGTGGTGGTGAGTTGGATTGACTGTTTTGTTAGGTGCCACATTTTAGAAGGAATAGAATGTATTGTGGTACACTGTGTGGCTGCCCTTGTGTCAGGACCAAAGTGCTAGGAGTGTGCTGCTGTGATATGATTTTTTTTAATTGGATTGATTTTGTAACTTAAGGGAATGTTGTCAAGTCAAAAGTAAACCACCGAATCAGGTTAATCTGGGGAAAGTTCAACATCCATATGTTCCTCATAGTACAGTTCTTTATATAATAATAATGCGTTCATGGGTTTGTCCATCTGTTACATTTTTTAGTTAGTCTGTTTGTTTGTTTGTTTTGTATGCACATGTGTTCCTTAAAATAATCAGATGTGTCCTTGTCTGCTTGACTTTTTAAAGGACAGTGTGCGACGATACCATGGAGCTATTGCCCGAACGAGAATTCGACTAGCCAGGTACAGTTGAACAACAGGGAAAATTTGGTTTTGGAAACTCATTTTCCATATGTCCACTAAAAAGCGATAATTTGTAAAGAAGTCTTAAGTCTGTTCAAACATAACTGTTAAGTTGCTTAGCAGTCTAGACTGTTCTGCCTTAGTTGTATCAAATTATTAGGGGCTACTCATCCCATAAGCATTTTGTTCTTGGGGTTATTTTTGTCTCCCCCATATTCTTTGGGGAAAAAAAAAGGAGTTACACAAACTTGTCCTGCAGTTGGCAATTGGTAAAATATTTGTAAAGCATTTGGAAGACACTTAACCCTATAGAACTGGTTGATATGGGCACATATATATATATATATATATATATGGAAAGTGTAAATAACTGTTTCATTCTGCTTTTTTTCTTTTAACTTTGTTTTAGAAAATACATGTTGTCCGCTAAAGAAGACAAACCTTATGATCTGTGGGAGAAAAGCAACCAGGTGATCTTTAGATTGTGTTCTACCCTCTACCTGAATAAAATACTGTACACTTTTTGAGTGTGTAAAAGAGTTGTGCAGACCCTGTCAGTTTCCACACTGTACCTGCTGTACCAAAGTATTGTGTTATTTGTGGAAGAATCAATAAGCCTGTGATAAAATGAGCTTTCTTTTATTCTTAAAAGGTTCTTACCTATTGATGTAAGTTTTGTACAGAACATAAAATGTGTCTCTAAGATTGAATCTTTTACCAGATAGTCCCTTAAGAAGCAGAGCTGGAATGAAGACAGGTCTCCTGAAGATTTATGTCCCACTGTGCCTCTCTTTTAAAAAGCTGTCAGAAGTTGTGGGGTTTTATTGTGTCTAGTGAGCTGGGGGAAAGACCTGGCAATGCAAACAGACAGGTGAACAGTGAAATAAGGTAAACTTCACTTCTGTGGGAAATAAAGATGAAAATGTGTTCATTCCTAGATGCTCTGCCTAAAGTGGTAAGTGTTTTCTGACTTGGATATGCAAGGCCATAGAATCTGCCAGTGCCGTAAACTAAAAAGTGGTGAACCTGAGCTTAGGTGAATTTGAGCACAAACCCAAAATGTTGTTTCAACATGGAATTGTAGGTAAATTTTCATTGCATTTAAATTTTCAGTGGCTCCCAGAAATATTTTCGAGATCTTTTTCTATTACATCTCGAAGTAGATAAATAATTGAGAATTATAATCCGGGAGGTGATTTGCTATTAACAGTGGAATCTCTGTGTATGGAATCTTAATATTGCACAGCATTTGTTTTCTGCAAGACAATAAACATAACTATGCAGTCACTGCTAAAAATGAGATACTTAGATTTATTTGGTATTGAATTAAAACCTGTCATTAAAGACTCTGAAGCTCTGTTCTCTTTTTACAGAGTTAAAAGAGAGCTCTATCCAGTGTAGTCATGCATAAATAATAGATATGTTTGCGCTTTCTTTGTTCTGAGCCTGCTTTGTAAAGCAACTGCCATGGTAGACCACAGCTTGATAGCAATGAGGAGGTTAATTTTCCAGTAGGTTTTAATTAGTTAGAAGAAAGATGGACAAAACCATTAATTTAGCAGCCTCAGAGGTTACCTATATTAACTTTTGGGTGGTCACAGTTTCACTGCAATGATTTGTAATTGAAGAAGCCCAAAGTGGTATTTTATAGTTGTTCAGTTAGGGTTATTTTGCCATCAGCCATATGAGTGCATATTCTCACTACTGAAGATATTTAATTCAGAAACTGCTGGACTGTGTATTCCAGAAGGGAAACTCTTATGGGAAAGTGTACATTTTTTTGCAGTTCAAGGGTAATGATGAAAAAAAAGATCATCTCATTTCTGGAATGTGTATTGTACGTTTACCATTCATTTGAATATATATGTATAAGAAATATATTTTAAATTTCAGGCATATATGAGTTACAGCAATATAGCTACACTGACATACCTGGCAGCAAAAACGGGATGGGAAGTAACCAGTACACTGAATAACGTAAGTACATGGTGCATTGGCTTGGCATTGTTTGATTTTACTTTGCCTAGGATTGAAAAACAAAACTTCCAGAGGTACCCTAAAAGGCTGCAGAGCTATTTGTCCAGAGCACTGTTCAACCTGAAAGTGGCATGGAAGTCTCTTAGAGTGCATGACTAGTGAACTTGAGATCTCTACAGAGCAGGCTTACAGGAAGTCATGATTGGGCTTGAGCAAGAGGAGAGTGTGAAAACACAACTGAAACTACATCTCTCTCTGAAGGGTTTTCTTTGGCACAAGTGAAGTACTTCTGTGATTTTGCCAATCTTTGATTCAAGTAAAACACCAAGCTTGGACATCTATGTGTAGGCAGTGCTGTTGAAGATCTTTTGGGATTCTCACAAAGAAAATTATCAGCAATATGTGTAGCAGTCTGTAATATGCTGCCTTCACCAGCTTTATAGCCTGGAAAATATTTCTTAGCAGCAGACGTTATGTTGAGGTAGGTTTAATTGACTATTGCCAGTTGGCAAGTGGCAGCAGTATATTTACCATATTTTTCAATTTCTGTCTTTTCAGGAGATCATTTGATTCTTTTTATGTGCAGTTTTCTTGTCAGGTGTCTATTTTCCTACATTTTTCCTATTAAAGCTCTTTTCCTGCTGAAGTGTGCAGCAAATCACTTCTACTGCTAGGACTGATGTCATAAGCCAAAATTTCCTAGACATCTCATATGAATTGGTTTTAAGTTGAGATTAACTTGTTTGGAAAAACTGCAAGAAAACTTTGGAGAAAAATCTATTAAGGTTTGTTTTCTGAAATATGTTTAGTGAGTAGCAGATTATTTAAAGATCATGCAGACTCAGAGGTGTTCTTAGGCAAGAAGAGACTGGTACAAACTGTTTGTCTTGCCTCCTGGATATCGCAGTCAGTGAAACTTCAGTACTGATTCTTACATCTGGTGAATATACAGCTGATGTAAGAGTATGTGAGTAAATCAGAAGGTATTCAGTGGTGGCAAAACTGCTTGTTCTGTAGGCATGTTGTTCCAGTAGTTTAAAACCATCAGTAGATAGACCGCACAGATGACAGCACTTGTGGTGGAGAAGCAGTCAGATTGAGACATTGGGCATTACTTTCAGAACTGCTAAGGCTTTATTGTTATCCAGTTGAAAACTTCTTTCTGCTTCCACTGGAACTGCCACAATCTCAATTTCTTTCTTAATTCAGATGCCTGAAATGTGTAATAGAACTAGCTGCAAATGATGAAATGACTTAATACAGAAAAAAAAACATACGTTCCAGATGGCATTTTAAACATGATCTGATTTTAAACACGATCTGATTCCCCACTGTCACCAAGCAACAATACCTTCCAATACTAATAATACTGATGCAGTTTGGAACTTTCTCACCATTTTGGATTTCTTTAAATAGTCCTGATGGTAAGATCTGCCTCTGAGACAGGTATTTTCTGACTGAAGATCTTGAGCAGTTTTTTCTTGCTGCTCATTCAACTGATTGCAGTGTGTATCTTAAAGCCAACAAAATCTTGGCTCAGGCAGCACACTGATGCTGTCAGTGGACAGAGAGCAGCCATCCATTCCCATTCTCCTGGGCCATTCTGCATAATTTGGCATTGTCAGTGATTACATATTCCTTAGAGAAGTGGCAAAGATTCAGGGTAGCACAGTACCATTTTTTTCTGGGATGAATGCGTTAATCCTCCTGGTTGTAGGAGGATTTTGGTGCGCTTCCATTTTGGTGCGCTGTGTATTCCACGAGTCTTCTTTTTCATCTTACTTAACATGCACTTGCAGGCAGCAGTTAGCAGAGGGTATATTTGTCCCCATACGTACCTGCGGTTACCTCCAGTTCAACCCATCAGGTGGATGAGATTTGCTCTTTAAAAAAGAAATGTGAGTGAAACCAGTCTTGAACATAACCTTTATAACTCCTTTGGTCATGTTCAGATGTGTGCTTGAGTTAACTACATGCTGATACAGGTGCAGTCCTAGGAAAGGCTTTCTGCAACTTCAGGTAATGAAATGTTTTTGTCTTAGGAACTGTCGGTGTGGTCATTTGTTGCAGTTTCATGTTCATTTCTGTAAACGCTGACACTAGGAATATCCCTTACGAAGCTGTATCTCAGAACTTTACATCATGTTTCCATAGAAATCAGGTGATACTGCTGATCAGTGCTGTACATGAAGACATTCATATTATGGGAAACAAGATTGTCAAAGACTGAACAGTGTTTTGAGTTGAAATATTGCTGTAGGCATATTCTGAAGCAGTGTGTCCATTTGTATTCTCATTTTTTCCTGGAGTGACCCCAGGTTGGCTGAGTGGTTTTGAAAGTAGAAGGAGGTACTGTGAGTTCATGAACACAGATCCACAAGACTTGTAGGCCTGTGTAATAATGCTGTCCTTAGCAGTATTCACTTTACAGAGTGAGGTTTGAACAGCTGCTACTCGCACTTTATTTTGTAATTCTGAAGTCTTGAAGAGTGTATGACTTGTTTGCTGGCTTACTTTTTGGGTTTGGTTTTTTTCCCTGTTCTAAAATGTGAAAATAGATGAACACACAGAGTCTGTTGCATGAATGCTTAGTAAACCCATGGACTTCTAATTTTTAGCTTGGCAAAAAGAGCAGCAGAGATGATGAAGCTTGAATTTTTTAGAAATGAAAATCTGTTAAAACTTTACAGGATTTGAAAAACAAATTAACAGATCTAATATTAACAGATCTATTATTTCTCTCCTGCTCATTTTTTTCCATTTTACAGGGTTTGTGGAACACCCAACCCATTCTTGGGCAAGAGTCGTGTGTACTTTTTTAATACAAGTTATTTCTTTTGAATCCTCCTTGACAGGGTTCAGACATACAGACCCAACATATCAGGACAATATTGTGCAAGCATAGGATAGTGCAGGCACAATCACATTTTGAGTAATGTTTTGGTGTACTGTGTGTGACTGATTTGTGTGGACAAAGGGAGCTGCAGTAGTTGAACTCTACTACCTACCTGTTCCAACATCTTCCTATCTGTTAAAGACAAGCTGCTGTACTTCATAGACTGAGGAGACGTCTCAGGGAAGTAGGAGATTCATATATTGTCTAAAACCATCTCTCTTAAAACACAGAGTCTGCTTTTCAAAAAATCTGCTTCCATTCGGATGTCTCTAGATAAGGTCCCAAAGCTTCAGTGCCAAGGGTTGCTGGATATGTTCCAAAATCCCAGAGGCAGTGACAGCAGTTGCTTGTTTTATTTTGTTTTGCTGAAACCTGTGTTGCCTCACGTGTAGTGCAAGGATGCCCAGTTCATGTACTGTGGCCTCACTCCAGCTTGCTTCTACTCACCAGTTTCCCATCCAGTGGATGCTACTCTGAAATCTGCAGTATCTGGAATTATCTCTACCTTGAAGCAGTTAAAACTGTGTGATGTCACTGTGCTATCAGTGTATTCCACGTTACGTTGTGCTGTATTGTACGGTAAAATTAATCGTGTTTTTAATACACTGTTAACTTTTTCAGATAAAAATATGGACCCGTGAGGATGGTGATGTCTTGTCATTCAAAGTAGAAATGCAAGTGAAGACAGCATCACATGTAGCTTTCTCCCTTTTGTCTGACTTCACATACTGCCAGCAATGGGACAAACATTTCTTGTAAGAACTTACCTTTATTTAAAACTGCTCAAATCCACTGACAACTAACCTTTTCCAAGGCACGTATTTTTTGAGATGTTGACACTTTTCTACCTAATTAAGACTAAAGTGCTGTAGGAAGTTGTCATTAAAAATTCATTAGTCAAAATATGGATTGGCTTTTTCCCTTGAAAACAAAATTTGATTTCTCCAAAACCTAGTTTAAAAATAAGTTTGCCCTGGCTCATCAGAAAAGCTGGGAGAGAGGTTACTTTTCACAAAAATGAACAAAATTCCGTGCCTAGATAATTGTATATTAGAAGGGTTAACAAGGTTGTATATAACTGGATGTCCGTATATGGTAGACACTGTGAGAAGTAAGCCAGAGCTGAAAACTCCATTGTGTTTGTCCTTTTTGGGATGATGATGATTAGCTTCATCACACAAAGTGAGAATGCCAGAAATTAAGATCTTCAAAATGTACATTTTAAGGAAAGTAATATCTTCCAAAGTGTGCCTGAATGGGTTTCAAAATATCTGTAAAAGGTGTTTTCTTAATTTGCCTTATATTGTGTAGAATGATGACCAGAGGCAATTGAATTTATATGATACTAGTTTAAGTAAGTAAGTGTTTTCTTAAAGTAGAAGCTTTTTCACTTAATTATTCTGCCTTGGAATATTTATATTAGAGTGAAAATAAGTGGAAGTATAGGAATATTTAAAATTTGTCATTTTCTGCCACATAAATGGCTTGAAAAAATGAAATCTGAAGAAAATTGTTGCTTTTCCATATGTAGAGCCAGAATTTTGGATTTCTTACAGCTGTATTGAAGCCCAATTTACTAGTGAAAATGGAACCCCAACTTAGTGGCATTTATTGCTGAGGCAATAGAGGCTGAAGTGAAATCAGTTATTGCCAGGGCAAAGGAAAATTCTGGGGTTTCTTTTTTTGTACAGGAAACTTAGAGTTAGTGATCAGTACTTTCAAGAAAGAGTCCTACTGGGTGGCCCTTTCTGAATGCAGCAGAACACACTTTGAATAAAATTTTGCTAATGTTTCCTAATTGTCACTCCTGTGATATGTCAAATGGACAGTATTTGGTCAGTCAGCAAGTATAATGGCATGAAAGCTAATTTTATTCCAAATAGGAATTAGTATGCAAAATATGGGCTTTTAAGACCTTGCTCCAGCATTCTGCAGCACTTTTTCCAGTTTTGTGGACCAGAAATGTTGTGTCAGGTGAGGATTGCATTAGAACTTAGATATTTTGTCTCTGTATTCTTGTCACGTTTTCTGCATCAGCAGGAAAACTATACATTGAACTTTAGGCTGGAATACATGTTCAGTTACTTTTCATAAGAGCTGTTGCTGCATATGACAAGTACTACATGCGTGTACTAAATGCATTTGCAGAACTTGCGAAGTCCTACAGGCTGTGAGTGAAGAGGACAAAATATATTACGTTACCTCACCACCTCCACACATGAGTGGCCATCAGCCCAGGGACTTTGTGATTCTTGTGTCTCGAAGGCAACCTCTTGAGCCCAGGTGAGCACAGAACTTCAAGTTGAGCTGTGAGCTCTGGACCCATAATTTGAATTGCTGCTGACCTCCACCAAGCCTGTTGTTTGATGGCAAAGATATTTAATTTCTTAAGATAAATCAGATGAGTGGCCGATTTAAAATATACATGGATACCTGAGACTGCACAGACATCTATTTTGCAAAGTGGACATACAATGAAGTGAGTTCAAAGCATCCCAGATTTCTAGCATATTCTAGCATTGCTTGTCTGATAATGACTCTTCAGGAGTGGTGTATCATGACAGAAAACAGGCCCGAGTTCCAAACAGCACCTTGGCAAAGCATGTTCAGATCCAGAAGTACATGATTGAGAGTTTGTTTTTTAAAAAATTACTTTGTAGTCTCATTTAATGTAGTTCTGGAAGAATTAGGGAAATGCTTGGACTTCACCAGTACCTGAGTGTGATACATCTGTTGTGTCAGAAAATGTTGCTGCTAAATGTTGTTTAAAGAAATCTGCTTATTTAACATAGATTGATTTTTCATTAGATTTCCTTTTGTTCTTGCATAATGAAACATGGATAAATGGGGCTGTTTAGTCTATTTTGTGTATGTTATTCCTTATTTTCACTATAATTTTTTATATTCTATAATTCTTCATGTTAATGGTACATCACTTCTATTCTGTACCTTGCTTGGATTCTTTTCCCCACATCTGGGAACCTGGATTTGGTTTGTCAGTGCTGGGACCATATCCATGTCTATCCATGAACTAAGGCCCTGATGCTGTAAACTTGGTTCATGAGGAGTTGGGGGAATTGGGGGAAAAAAAAAAAAAAAAAACACCACAAAAAAAAAAAAAAAAGCACAAAGCCAGACAGAAAGGAAATGTGTTGTAGCGATCATTCTTTCACTTTTCACACAAGTCCTCATGATTTGAGTCAGTAACAAAGCATTTTCAAGATAAATGAGCTTTTTTACATGTTTTAAGCATACAGGAGCATACTTGCCTTAATATAAAAATGACATCTAATAAAAAAATTTTGTCGTCTGTAGTTGAGGTCCTTTACATGCATTTTTTTTAAACATATATATTTTTTAAAAAGTTATGTTTTTCTGCTTGCACTGCAGTGAACCATACATAGTAGCTGTGAAGTCAGTAACCCTGACATCTGTGCCACTTTCTTCTGAACACTGCAGAAGTGAAATCCTGTGTGCTGGATTCCAGATCTACAGTGACAGCAGCAGCTCCTGTAGGGTGAGTTGCTCTGAAGGCCTCATCTGTGCCTCCTTTCCTTTGGTGCTGCATGTGCATGCGATCTTATTTGAGCTGACAGTCTAGAACAGTAGTAACAATAAAGGAATCAGTTTATCCAGACATCTGTTAGGTTATCTTTATTCCACTGTGTGGAATTTGTTTTGCCCAAATTCAGCCAGTGTGAAAGTGTCAACGGTTTATGGGCTGGTCCGGCCCAGTTCCGTGACCAGCAGGGCGGAGGGATCTGCGGATCCGCACCTCTGGGAAAGAGGAAGCAGGGGACCCCAAAATACTTGGAAACAACAGCACTGATCTGAGGTGGAACAAATGATTTTACTAAATATAGTATTAGTAAAATACAATGAGAGAGAGTCTGTTTGAACTGTATAGACCTCACCACAATGCTGGGGTGAGAAGTGCAGTCCAGTTGAGTGACTGAAGTACAGACGGCGAAGTGCAGATGGCGAAGCGCAGGCGGCGAAGCGCAGACAGCGAAGAGCAGGTGAAGAAGAAGGATCAGGTGACCTTGCTTGGAGTTATATCCCCTTGCTGACCGCAAAGTCTCCTGGGGAAATGTAGTTCTTCTCCGACGGACGAACATTCGGCAGATATCAAACCCCACCCCCAGTGCATTACATGATGTTATGGTGTGGAATACTGATGACCAAAAATCATAAAACCATGACAGAAAGTTAGGAATGAAGTCAAACTAAGCACTAAATAGAGACTGGCAGCTCTGGAGAATCATCGAATCATAGAATGGTTTGGGTTGGAAGGGACCTTTAAGATCATGTAGTTCCAACCCCCTGTTATAGGCAGGAACACCTCCCTCTAGACCAGGTTGCTCACAGCCCCTTCCAGCCTGGCCTTGAATGCTTCCAGGGAGGGGGCATCCACAGCCTCTCTGGACAACCTGTTCCAGTGTCTCACCACCCTCACAGTAAATAATTTCTTCCTTATATCTAGTCTAAATCTCCCCTTTTCCAGTTTAAAGCCTTTTCCCCTTGTTCTGCCACTGCATAGTGTTACAAAAAGTCCCTCCCCAGCTTTCCTGTAGGCCCCTTCAGATAGTGGCAGGCTGCTACAAGGTCCCCCTAGAGCCTTCTCTTTTCCAGGCTGAAGAGCCCCAGCTCTCTCAGCCTGTCCTTGTAGGGGAGGTGCTCCAGCCCTTTGATCATCTTTGTGGTCCTCCTCTGGACCCACCCAACAGCTCCATGTCCTTCTTGTGTTTGGCCCCAGAAGTGGTAGCAGTACTCCAGGTCTCATGATAGCAGAGTAGAGGGGCAGAATCACCTCCTTTGACCTGCTAGCCACACTTCCCTTGATGGAACCCAGGATACTGCTGGCCTTCTGGGCTGCAAGCACACACTGCCTGCTCATGCTGAGTCTTTCATCAACTGACATTCTCAAATCCTTCTGCTCAGGCTGCTCTCAAACCATTCTGGGCCCAGCCTGAATCTGTTCTGGGTAGTTCAGTTAATCATAAAATAAGCTTCTAGAAGGGTGTGCATTCTCCTGATGTTTGTTGCTGCTTGTCTGCCCTCACTGAGTACAGAGGATGCCCAGGGAATAAGTTGTCATTTAATGTTTAGTTTCTCTGTCTGTAATTATGTAATCTGAACCTTGTCCCTGGACAAGCAACAATGTCTCTCTCCTCTGTTGTTTTCCAACTTCCTAACTTTTTAATTTAAGAAAGTGTATTTCTGAAAACATTGAGTATCTCTTACTGGCTGAGATTCTCTTTTCAGGCAATGGTATTGATGGTGAAACACATCTGTGGGAGGTGAACTAGATGATCCTCATGTGTCCTTTCTAACTTGGGGCACTCAGTGAATTCCGTGATATATTTAACAGATTAGACAGTGTTTCCTGCTGAGCTCCTGTGTATATGTATGTATATTCTTTAGGACCTGGCATTCTGATTACTGTAAGACTATAGAGTCTTTTTGCTGAGCCTTGCTTTCACTTTCACAGTGCTTCTACTGCTTATGTGCATCTGTTCTCACCCACAAAAACTTTGACTATCAGCTAGTCTCTGAAATAAAAGGGCTAACTATTGCAGTCCAGGGTTCTTAATTTATATTGTTTTTATTTAAACAGGTGTACTACTTCAATCAAATGACATCAAGTCTTACGCCTTACTTAGCTGCAGGTCTTACTGGCTCATTAAACACCATTGAAGACACAGCTTTGGAGTGTATTAAGTTCTTGGAGCTGAAGGGCAGCAAGTGCTGAAGTTAACACAAAGTTGTGAAAAGAGTGTGAGAAACTGTCAAGCAGTATTAATTTAAGTTTTTGCATATGTGTTAATTGTTCTACAAGTTACTTTGAGTCATGCAGCTGACAGTGGACTAGAGCTGGATTTTGTGTCAAATTAGGATTAGACTGCATGCTCTAAATTCAAGTTTTCTATTAAAAAAAAGATTGAGGCACAAATTCTGCTCTTAAATCTGTATTTCATTGTTGGATTGGGCCTGGTGACATCCAGTCAACAGTTACTAATTTTAAATTAGTAAATACTAATCAGTCTAATACGCAGAGGACTGGTACTACCAAGTAGCTTGTCTCCTTCTCTGCTCAGTTTGCCCAACTCCTTGCATGTGCATTACATGTTCATCTACTATGCCCTACAGCAAATGTTTGTCATCTGTTAATGCTTGTAGTTTGTCTGTGTGAAGAAATGTGAAGTTCCAAACCCACAGCCTCAGTGCCTTGTCCTCAAGTATCTCAAAAACCAGTTCTGAGCTCAAGTTTGTTGTCTGGTGTTAGTTCTGCATTCTCAGCAGGATTCTGCATGAACTAACTTTAATGATAACTAATTCTTTAGAAGTAACACCTTCATTACCATTTAGCTTTCTGTCAAAGACAGTTGCTTATTAATACATAATGCAAGCTGAAATTTTAGAAGGCACATGTAAGGCCTTCAGAGCACTGCCTGCAATACAGCACTGAGAAGCCTGATGGCACAGGTGCTTGAGTCCACATCTGTACAGTGGAGGGGAGCACAGCACAGAGATGCAGAACAGCACCTGCCAATGCTGTGCCCTGACCCCAGTTCAGAATGAAAGCAGCACGTGAGCAGAGCTTGGAATGTACTCCTCTACTTAAACTTAGATGACAGAATAAGATGCAAGTAAAACTGTCACTGTCAGCTGCACAGGAAGAAACTTGAGAACATATGGAGACCTACTGCAGGAACTCCATCCTTCATTGGCTTGAGGAAATTTTGAAATTTTGATTTCCAAGTGCAGGCTGCTTTCTCTGCTTTCTCTATAATATATATATATATATATATATATATATATATATATATATATATATCTCCACTATGAAGTAAGTACATCTAAGTAACAGAAGGGAAAGTTTACTTCCAATACCCCAAGGGGCCAAAATACTAAAGATCAAGATTTTTGGGTGCTTCTCTTAAAAAGTAAACTACGCAAGCTCCCTTGCTCTCCAGCTACTGGCACAGGCTCTCCAGGGCAGGGGGCACAGCACCAAGCTGCTAGTGCTCAAGGAGCATTTGGACAATGCTCTCATTGACATGGGGTTTGGATTTTGGGAGGTCCTGTCTGGAGCCAGGGGTTGAACACACGATTCTAATTTTCTCTCTTTTTCAAGTGAGTTTCATAACGCGTATCTGAGAAAGAGCATGATTTGGCTTACTGGTGAAGTACTCAGGTAATTAAACATGCATAATCTATCAGATTATCGCACGTACACACTACCTGATCCATCATGTATAGCAGGAATTGTACCCCAAGCTCTCCAGATAGAAAGCTCAAGTCACATAAGGTGTAGCTTTACCTGATAACTTAGCTGTCAGACAGCTCAAGTGTGCACATACACTGCACAAAATCATTCAAAGAAACAAAACCAATCTAGAATCCAATTGATATTTAGAAAATGCCTGCAACCCCTTTCAAAGAAAGAGAGGCTTAAGATCAGCATAATTATATTCGTCTCCGATACAGCAACATCCTTAAGGTAATGCTACTGATCACCTAAATCAAGTGGTCATAAAGCCCTGTGACAAAATGCACGTATCCCTATGCTTTCACTGCAACTACACTGCATGTTAGCAGAGGAAACCAACTTCCCTCTTCAGAGAATTAGCAGAAGAAATGCTTTCCTGCAAAAAAAAAAAAAAAATATATATATATATATATATATATATATGTATATATATATGTATATATATATAAATAAACACCTTCTTGATGCATTTCTGTTGTTCCCAGATTTTCAGTCTGCTGGATGAGTCTGAATTGAACTGAAAAAAGCAGGGATACAGACCCAGCAGCAGCTGTGCTTGGTTTTCAGGAAGCAGCAATCCACTCTACGCAGTCACTTCACTGAAGTGAAGCAGTGCACAACCACTGCAGTTTAGCACCCAAAGGAGGCTTTCAAAAATTAATAACTTTCAGTACTTTCACTTTGGGTTTCTGTAGCTTAGTTGTTTCTGTTGTTTCTTCATCATCAGCACTCATTCCATTGGCCCATCGCCCAACTGTAACCTGGTCTGCAGAGTAAGAAACAAGAGTTTATGGAAAAACTAAACATTATCATCAGATTGAGCTTTCAGATTTGAGAAACATTTGGCCCATAAGGGCCTGCTTTTGGTTCAGCAAAGATCTATCAATTTAGACATCTGAAACCAATTGCCTTCAACAAGTGTGTGTCTGTGTTTTGTACCCTAATCCCATCCACCACAGATTTTAAATGTTCCAAAATCTTATGCATCCCTTCCTATTTGACTGTCCAAAAATTCAGAGGGTACACAAAAGATACATTAACTCTGAAGTCCTAATAACTCTTGTGTGAAGATTTCACAATGTGTCAGGCATCTCTGAATGTAAAGGAAAGCATTCTTGAAGAGAGAAAATCGAGAAAAAATTACATTTCTCAACTTGCCTCCCTAAATATAAATAAACACTTTTCCCCTCCCCCATTTTAAATATTATTTTGACCAGTTCTCTTTCATACTGTTCATTATACTGCCCAAAAGCAGAAGGAGTTGCAGGGATGTTTATTTTAACCTTGTCTACAAAATTACAGTGGCTCTACAAAATCAGCACTTGCTAGCTCCTATTAACTGTCATACATATGTGCACACCACTACTCCAGACTGGACCAAGCAATTTAATGACTGCAGCCACTCATGTGAAGGAGCAAGTTCTTACAGGTTGCCTTCCAGACTCCTTGCATAGTGGATCTTTGCTGGTCAGCACTACCCACTGCTCAGGAGCCTTTGGTGGAAAGAGATGGCTTGACTTTCAGCAGTGCTGTTTCCCACAAATATTTCTTTTCTCCTACAGCATCTGCACAGGATTTCCATTTACAAAAGGTATTAAGCACGCAAAAATATTTTGCTGCTAACAGAGTGTGCAGAAGCCCAGCAAGAGACATCACAGATTTGCAGCAGTTCTCTGACAGGCACCATCCAAACCAATCTGCTGTGGCTGGTAGGTTTGGCAAAAACAAAACAAAAAACAGAAAAAAAACCTAGGTTTCACATCAGAAACTTCTGAGAGCAGTAAAGACTCAACCTCACTCGTTCCAAACTAGCAAACCAGCACACATCTAAAATGGCACAGATGTGCTCTCAAACACAACACCTAGATTATATCGCATCTGTATGATCATTTAGAAAAAGCAGTTGAAGTACAGAACTCTGCTGCCTTTGTAAATGTTTTTTCACATCAATTCTTCAGAAACTTACAGCATATTATTAACCCAAATGTTCTGCAAGTAGGAAAACCAACAAATGTTTCATCACTTCAGTAATGTGTTGTTCTCCAAACCTTGGACAGTTTTGCCTCTCTTAAATTATTTTTTTTTGTGGAGTTTTTTGTTTTTGTTTTTTTTAAAATAAAAGATACATAGAGTATCTTCTATACATATGAAACAGAAAGGAACAGATTTCTTCTGTCTAATGGTTTAAGAAAAATAAATGCCCTTAGATCATATCCTGGCACATAAATTGTATACCCCTATCATAATTAATATATTACAAAAATGCATTCTAATGTGTAACACATACTGACGAATTCAGTGCAAACCAATCTGCAAGGAGGTAAAAAGAAAGAACTATCAGTGAACAAGGGAAGCTGTTCACCCAAAATACTTTCTATCAATTGCCTTACCACAAAGGAGGGCTCAGTTAAACATCAAACATTTCATTAAAAGCCAATCAGCTAAGCAGAATTGTAATCTACTTTTCTATCTGCACAGTTAGATGAAACCAGTGTATCAGCTGGCAAATCTAGCAGGACTGGCTCGCAGTCTCTTCTCACAGCCCTTTCTCAGATGACTAAAATGCCTGCCTGCAGATGGAGCTTATAGCAACTGCCAGAACCACCACACTGCAACTGAAAAGACATTCAGCTTCTTCACACAAAGTGCCTGCAAAATAAACTAATTCTAAATTTTTTCTATTACAGCTGCTAACAATGTGAACAGCAACATAAAGAGACATTTACTCATACAACCCTCAGAAGCATACAAGCTAGATTTTTTAAAACTGAAAGTTCCTTTTGCCTAGCAACTCACTGTCTCCTCTCAATAAAAGCACACATTTTTAATGGCAATGTGCCATCTTGTTACTAGAAAGCTCTCTACTCGCACTCTATGCCACCTCCTGCACCTCACCTAAGTTCTGGTTTTCCGGACAGTCTTTTCTGTAATGCTCGACAGAGCCACAAAGTCTGCAGCAGCCACCTGTTAAAAGATAGAGTTGGAAAATAAAACAATACAAACCTACTCTTCTGCTCTTGAAAATTTTTGTATTACACTTCTGTAGTTACAACCTGTAGAAAAGATGCATCTCCACAGACAGGTCAATGCTCCTAAGCACTATTACATAACACCTTGCAGCAGATGAGCATACAGCTTTAGGAGCCAGCACACACACCTTCCTAGGATTCTGTATCTTACAGATAGCACCCACATGTAGTAGCAAGGCTCTGTCAATCACTGAATAGTACAAATTTCACTCACCACATACAGGATGTTTCTGCTTACTTACAAGGAAGGCAGGCATTGCAAAATCTGAGTGAAATCTACACACTTAGGTGTAGAGACATTTCTCAATAAAATCACTTCACCTGATGATCTTTCTTTTGTGAGAGCCCTTTTTGTGAGTGCCACAACCACTGGGCAACTGTATGATCAAGTCAATCAGTAGAGCTGATTTCTTAGAACATCTGGAAGTCGTGGCCTATTTTTCAACTCTAAATTTCTCTTTGATCTTTTACAGTGTCACTTTCCATATAAGACAAATTATCTCTGTGTGTAACTATGACAGACCTTATTTTCTGTGAACACTTCTCATTGTCTCATTGTTGCTGAAGTATTAAACTACAAAGGCTACTAAGGCCCTAAACAGACCAATGTATGTTTCTATCACATTCTAAGTTGTACATAAATTGAAACACACATTGGCCACATACAAACAGATTATGGTTTTTTTGAAATACTCTTGAAACTGTCAAGTGTAAGTAAATTCTCATACTCTGCACTTCACCTCCTCTTTAATGCTAAGATCAAAATTGAAATAGGAATCTCCAGATAGTGAATACTAATGATGAATTCTGTCGATCTGATCTGTGTTCACCAAGAATAAAAGACATCTGAAAGTTGCTCTTCTTAATCCAAAATGTTTCTTGGTTCTGTGTCACATAAGTAGGAAAAATATGTTTTATTTGCAACAGATCACTGCACTCACCTTCGGCATACAATCCTTTGGGATTGTCAGGACATGACCTTGATAGATGTCCCATCTCACCACAGATGAAACATTTTGCATATGGAAACGCACCTGCAAAATTCCACAGATTACAACAAAAGTTAAGAACACTGTATAGTCACAGACAACTCTGAAAACATTGTAAGAAACAGTATGATATAGGATAGTGTAACTGCAACGCCAGGTTTGTTGTTACAAGACTGTATTCCTTTAAACATATTAATCGCTGTCTGCAGAACAGACCACAAATCAACGTATCAGTAGGAAGAATACTCAGACCAAAGCACCCCACAAAATGCAAACTTCTGAATCATACCAACAGCTGGGTCTATCTTTGCCTTGCATTTGCCAATGTCATGCTCTGTGGATCCACACCGGTAACAGATTCCTGTACCCATATCTTGACTTTCCAGTACAGCTGGACAATCGGCAACACCATGGCCAGGTTCCCTGCAGTGGAAACATACCTTTAAAAATAAAAAATAAGTTACATGCATTTTTATACGCAGTTCACAGAGCAAAGCACAGCACTTACCGGTGGCATAACTACAGAGTTTTCTTACTTTTGTTATTTGATTATCATTTTTATCTGCCAGATTTCCACTAGGTCCCAATGTATCTTGGCTGAAGCCTAGGAGGTGCTAATAAATACATACCTCTTGCACTGACATTTGAAGTTACTCCAGTATGTTAAGCCAAGGTTCAGTGAATAGCTCAGAAAAACAAACAAAAAAACAGCCTAACAAGGCCTCTAGGCTTTTCAGAAGGCAAGTATATCAACAACAGCTTAACACTTCAAACAAAAATGCTTAAGACAAAAGAGCCATTGCAGCACAAACAAATTAACTGCCAGTGGTCTCTGCCTCTAAACAAGGTGATTATTGGTGCTTTTTTCCTTCACCAGTAACGCATGCAGGATTTTTGTCCCAGGCCACTGGGAACTGAGCACTGCAGCTGAGTGACAACTTCTGATCCTCACTGCAGCAGAATTAGTTCCCTGAGATTGTTCTGGACATGTAAAAAGTAAACACAAGCAAAAACGTGTCAGTACTGATGTCTCAAAAGCTGCTTATATGAGTTGCTGCATTGCAACTCATTTATAAACAAAAACTCATGGTAGTTTGTATGAATGAGTAGCAGTCACTTTCTTTGCCATTTCAGAGTCCATTTAGAATAACTTCATGAGTGACCACTCTCAGGTGGTCTCATTTGGAGTTTGCTGGAGATCTCACTCCAGTTCTCAGGCAGAAGGTGCTGCAAAAAAACGATCCCATAACATGATGAAATTGCAAACGCACACAGGAACACTGCACTGTCACACAGAGAGATAGAAAACACATTTCACCCGGGAACAAGGCTGGCCATTCCCCAAAGCGCTGCAGATCAGCACGTAAGCAGAAAAGGCATGCCAAGGGTGAAATTCCCTTAAACTGCGTGTACTTAATGAAGTCCACTTACGCTAAAACTCACTTTATAGAACCACAGGACCAAACCTCAGCAGGGATTCAACCCCGCTTAAGGCTGAGATGCTCCCTTCCCCTCTACCACCGCGGGCACCCAGCTCACCATGGCGTTTTTCCTTGCCTCCTGCCTCCTCAGCCTCCTGCCCTCCCGCCTACGGTCCTTCTTCAGGGCGGCCGCCGCCTCCTCCTCCTCCTGCCCCCGGCCGTTCCCCGCCTGCTTCAGGTACGCCGCAAACCCATTGACATCTTCGTTTTGGTACGTTTTTTTCCTTTTATTCTTCCTCTCCGGCCCGCCCTCCGCGGGCCCCGCCGCCATCTCCTCCCAGGGCGTGGACTTCAGCGCCTTGCCGCCCGCAGCGGCGACTTTCCGAGCCCACCTGGTCATAGCTGCAACCGTCCTCACAACTCCCGCCGGAAGCGGAACTCCGTCCCCGCTGCTGCCGGCGCGGCGTGTCGTCACTTCCTCCTTCCACCGGAAGGGCAGCTGCCGCTCGGCATTCCGCCGCCATCTTGGGGAGGGGGGCTTGTCTGTGGGGACTGATGTGTGCGCCCGCGGTGGCTGCACTGCCTGCTTTCTTCTAGTTACGCTTCGTAGCCTTATAGCAGAGTTCTTGCAGGTCGGGAGCTCTGCAGGTGCAGTTGTGCTGGCTTAACCGCTTAGCCTTGAGTAAAAATAGTGCTTTATCACAGAACCATGAGGTTGGAAAAAAACTCTTAAGATCATCGAGTCTAGACATCAGCCCATCCCCACCGTGCCCGCTGACTGTGTCCCTCAGTGCCACATCTCCACGTTTCTTGCTAACCCATGGGGACAGTGAATGACTCCACTGCCTCTGTGCAGCCCATCCCAGTGCCTGTTCACTCTCACTGACAAGAAATTCTAACTAATATCCAACGTGGACCTTCCCTGGCACAATTTGAGGGCAGTCTCTCTTGTCCTAACACTGTTACGTGGGAGAATGGCCCAAGCCCTACCTTGCTACAACATCACCTTTCATCAGGAGTGGTGCTGATGGCATCAGAGTGGTCCATTCCTGCTGAACCTGATTGAAAGCCCAGAACCAAAAAACTCCCAATGGAATTGGAATTGGTCACACTTCTGTCTAGATTGCCCCATTAAGGTCACAACCTAAGCCTCTGGGACTGCATTGTTCTAAATCCCAGCAGAGCAACGGAAGAACAAAATACAGTAAGAACTTGATTTCTCAAGTCAGTCTTCTTAGCATTTCTCTAGATCTCCATTGCCATTCTTGAATGGATAGAAAAGCTGGACAACATTCCTTCTTTATTAGTCATCTTCAATGTTTGTTACTCCTTCGAGAAGCAGACGTGTTGTCCTTTGCTGATTTTCCAAGGCTTTGCTTCCACTAGAGGGAGATAAATGTGCACAAAGAGGGCACTGATGTTGTGTGTTTTTGCTGTTAAGCGGCATCCTCAGCAAGAACCAGCACGGATTTGGGAGTAACAAAAAGTGTGTGTTTTGCAGCCAAAAATAATGAATGCTATTTAAAAGCTCCTGTTAATAAATTAGGAAATAAAATCAGAAAGACTCCAGATTTGATTTTAAAATTAAAAATAATAAATTTTGCCAGTGAAGTTACAGTTCAATTACAACTTGAGGTCCTGGCTTTTCTTACAGAATCCTGCTGGTGAATCTGTAGTTCAGGAATGTCCAAAGCTAATTCTCATAAATGGCTACTGGAAACAGCACCGGTGCATGGTATGGAACATAAAAGCAGCTATGGGTCCCGTAGATATCTAGCACAGCTTCTGATCTCCTCCACACCAAACTTGCAGCAGATAGGCCTGCAGCTGCCCTGCTGGTAAAACAATACAGGGAAAAGCTGAAGAGCAGCATCAGCAAGAGCAGTAGAGTTCTGCTGAAGTACAAGTACTGTCATCTCTTTTTGTGGTCTGAAATCTTCTGTGCATTATGTCTCTAGAAGACAGTGCCCCTTAGGGTCCCCAGTCACGTTTATTTTACAGCCAGTGGAGAAAGCTGTTTAGTATCTTTCTGCTGAACCAGTAAGACAGCATTCCCTGTACAATAGTCTTTAGCAGTGATCACACCTGTGCTGGTTTGGATTTTAGTTTCAACTTAATTTCAGTCACCTGGTAGCTCTGCTGCACACAGGCAGCAGGTGAGAAATGAGCAAGACAGCAACCATGAAAATCATGGTAAAAATGTATGACCCACCCACCCCTCCCCCCCCCCTCCCCTCCC